ATATCACACAGACACACATGGAAGTGTGTCATTTGCTGATATTTTAACACACAGTGCAGCCACACAACATCAATGTCAATTTCACAAACTTGTGGCGACACATCCTGTTTTGGTAACCAGATATTTCAAAATAAAAGTCTGATTTAATTCGGTTCATATACAAAACAAACTTYGGCGTGGGAAAGCAAAACAATTTTGCAAGGGAATGCAAACKTTTGCAAGGTAACGTAAAAGAAATAAATCCCCTCCATGTCCCCTCGCRGGCTCCGTAGATTAAAACCTGGGACATTTCAACAAAGTTTAGTTTCTACTCACCTCCGGTGTATAAAAAAGAGCTGGAGAGTCCCCCAAAGTAAATAAGGGCGAGGTGCTCCAGTTTAAGTGTRGACAGGAAGTAGAGCAGAGTGGCACACAAGCACCCCAAAGAATACAGCAAAGCGCCRAACATGACAACATCCTGTGGTGCCAGGATTTCATCTACAAGAGTCCTGTCATCGCTCTTCTTATGGTCAATTCCCTTAGAGAAATCATAGTAGGTGTTTACRAGGTTTCCTGCGCCGTGGACCACCAGGACAGCCACTGCGCACACCATCAGGACGACCAGGTCTACAGAGCCCTCCAGTTTGTACGCCAAGGCGCTACCGAGAGCCACGGGCGTGAGCGAGGCGCTGAAGCTCCACGGCCTCAGGGCCAGCACGTAGGCTGCGCACTTATGTCTGACGTCTGAGGCGACGCGGGCCATCCTGGACGTGCGGTTAGTGGCAGCAGGCCGGSTCTGCTTCGAGTTGTTCACGTCGGCCTGCCACTGCGCACCATTGTGACCGTTTGTTCCAGCCAGTACCAAAGTTTCCGCCCTGCCTTGTCCCTGTTCTTTAGCCATTCCTCTGCAAGGACCGTACAGCATGAGCAGCGTTCTCAAGTTTTAGTCTGGGGTTCCTGCAGGAATAAAAACACAACAGAGACAAGTTAGCACACTTGAACGTGGTGTTTGCACTGCCTTCAATACAAAYATGCCTTTAACAGTGTAAATGTGACTCTACACCCGGCCTAAAGTTCCTTTTTAAATATTTTAACTACATTAGGAGTTTGAATATATTACAGTMCTGTTAAAATGTATACAGACACTACAGTGAAAACTCAAGTTATTGCACTTTTATTTTTTTTTACTATTATTTAACCAGGTAAATCCAATTGAGATTGCAGATCTATTTTGCAAGTTAGGCCTGGGACAGAAGGCAACCTATTGTACGTTTACAGTCTGTGGGGGAAACTGGAGAACCGGGACAAAACCCACGCAAGCACAAGGARAACAYRCAAACTCCACAGAGAAAGATCCCAGGTCTGAACCGGGATCGAACACAGGACCTTCTTGCTGTGAGGCGTCGATGCTAACCACTGATTCATCGTGCTGCCGACGTGTTCAGTGATCTTTTGAAAAAGACAGTTTAACATTTTGGATTATTTGATAATGAAAGGCTTGAACGTCCTGACATTTTCTTATAATTTTGCACTGTACTTTATCTGAGGAATGTAGCCAAACTGACTGACAAGAAATGTTGCTAGAAATGTCCTGTGCAGTTAACAGTAAAGTTTTTGTCCGACTTTTAACATACATAGCATATCTCTGGGCTTTGTGTATTTATATTGTTGCAAATCATAACTTTTTAGTGAGGAGTCATTATGTTAAAGCAGGACTACTAATATTATTAACTAATTGCATATATGAATGTATTAAAATTGTAACATATTATAGATCAGTGGTTCCCAAACTTTTTATCTTCTGACCCACAAAATATCCATGGCTAAAACTTGTGACCCCAAATATTACTGGTCTGAGTACACAAACTTTGTTAATAACCATAAAAACACAGGCTTTTTGACAATCTAAACAGCTTGTACACAAATATAAATACTTATTTATACTTTCTTTTGTGTGTTTTTGTAATAGTTATAGGGAAAATATTGCATCAGCAATTATTTTGTTACCCTTTAAATTGATTTCTGGAGATTATCCAAGKTGCTTCATGACCCATAATTGGGTCCCAAGCTAGGGTTGGGCATAATCGTATCGTGTGTGATTAATCGTCAGAAAAACATTAATCGATTAATTTTTGGCACTTGGCAATTAATATGATTAATGCCAACAGGTAGAATCCGCTCACTGCTCCTCTCAGCTTCAAATATGATGAACATTAAAAAAAAGTTCTGTAACTTATTTATCTATCAACACAATTAAAAAATTGGTATATAGCCTGAAGTCTGTAATTTTGACACAATTTGGAACAGATTTTTATGAAGAGCAAATCTTTCCCACTAAATTGGTCATGTTACTAGGACATAAGGGTGTCCAGGGACTCCAGGGGATTAATCGTCAAATTAATMGTTATCGGCTAAATACCACAATTAATCGTGATTTATTTTTTTGTCAATATTGCCCAACCCTATCCCAAGCCAAACTTTGGGAACCAAAGTGCAGTGGTTCCCAAACTTTTCAGCTTTTGACCCACAAAATAACAGTAGCAGAGACCTGTGAMCCCAACTATTTTTGGATGATAAACATTTGTATCAGGTCAACTAAACATGGGCATAGTAACAATATTTTTATACCACATTTATCATTTTAAATATACTAACCTCTCTCCTTTGTAACAACTAAGGAAAAAATGTAATTAATTCAGAAAATCTTTTCAGGACCCCACCTTGATGTTTCGGGACCCCACTTTGGGTCCCGACCCCAACTTTGGGAAACACTGTGGTTGTTTGAACATCTAAAATAAATTTTATGAATAGTAACAGCGGTAGTAAATATTTTAAACAAGTTTTGGTTTACATTATTATCATAACAACTACTTTTTTTATTTATGTCTGAAATATAGTTGAATTTATATTAAGAACTTGACAGRTTAAATTAAAGTTATGGCTAGTAATAATATTGAACATGATTAATATAATTGAACTTACTGTATTGTGCATAAGTAAGACTGTATTGTCAGATATTAAATATGTTGATTTTGCATGAATAAAAGGCAATGTAAATGTCTGAAGCATTTGCATTGATTAGCCCAAGTATTATGATAAATCTACTTGTCATAGTTCAACCGCCTTTAAAAACACAAATGATTTTGAAGTGGAAAACTAGAATGCACTCACACTCAAATGTAAACGAAACTATTTGAAGGAAAAGACATTAGACTTGTCCTTTAGYCAAGACAGATAAAGACACAACCTGAGATTATAGGATTAAAGCTAATAGGCTAACCACCGAGCTAACGTTAGGAGTTCAGGGACAGATGGGAGGAAATGTCTGACAGCAGCGGCTCTTACCTGCTACGTCCTCAAAGTCCGACTCAAAGTCCGATTCTTTTCACTTACAAACATGTTTCTAAASACAAGGAGCCCGACACCGACACAGCATCTGACAATAAGACGGGTTGCGTGTCAGCTTCGAGGGTTCGTGACTGACTGCCTACTGAAAAATGCCCTGCTGGACCTGACGGACACCATTTCCTGCTTCACGTGTGCAACGTCGTGCGTAACCGAAGAAACTGCGTCTCACATAAATGGTTCCGACGTGGATACAAACTCCTCAACTGAATTTAATTTACATGGCGAATCAGACATTAAAATATGACTAAAACACAACAGGAAACATAATATATTTAAATAAATGCCAATATTTGGTTAAAAAAATGCAATTTTAATTAAAATGTATAAATCACAATAAAACAGTACTTAAATAGATAATACCATGTGGTATGTACTTTTTATTTACAAGGTATGTGCCTGGTATTTACCCAGTAAGTACACTGTAAGTACAAAATGTGTCCAGAATTAGTACTGGGCACAAACTGTAAGTACTAGGCATGTACCCAGCAATTACTTCATTCATAGTAACTCAGGAGGACATACCTGGAACTTATATGTAATGGGTACCTAAAAAGTACTTGGTATTGGTACTTTTAGGGTAGACACTTGATACTTTTCTATACTTGATATGTAATGGGTACCTAAAAAGTACTTGGCATTGGTTCTTTTAGAGTAGATACTTTATACATTTCTATACTTGAAGTTTCATGGTCACAACACTTAGAGGAGTGAGGCTTCTCTACTTTCCAGAGCTCTAACTGAACCACTCAGTTTTCTGATGTTTACTTTCACATGCCCTAACTTTTACAGGACCTCTCTGGAAATTCTGCTCAGACATCATTCTTCTGCATAAATGATGTCAGGCTGAACCCCTGGCGTACATAGTTGACCTATGACCTGCAATCCTGAGCTGCCAGAGCAGAAATCTTCTCAGTAGGAAGAATTTGAAAGTTTATTTAAACACTTGGCTGTTTGGAAGAGCATAGATAATAAATATATCTTCTAAGCTATTGAAAAAAGTTTTATAACAAATATTTGACTATTAATTTGAGCTAATTATACTTTTTGCATTTAATTGGCTTTGTGCTACTTTTAGCTACTTTTACTTTTCTCCCATCAGCTGTTAGACTTCATAACCATCACCGCTCCCAACAATCATAATAAGCACCCATGTTTGTGTTTGCACATCAAACAACTCTACCTCGCAATCATTACACAAATAATAACCAATAATAATTATTGTTCATTGTCTTTTCCTGTACTGGACATAATGACTGAGTCTGAAACAGTTTGCACACACTGAGTTTGACTCATTTTGCACAAGTCTGTCATGACTGTTATTTCCTGTAATTGTTTATCCTTCTGCACAGTATAGCTGCTTTTTACTTTACTTTCATTTTTATCTAATTTCTCCTTGATGGTCCAGTACAGCAATTATTTCCTCCGCCAAGGGCGAGGTAATGTTTTCGGTCGCGTATGTCTATCTGTCTGTCTGTCTGTCTGTCTGTCTGTGGACAACATTACTCAAAAATTTGTGGATGGATTGTGATGACATTTTTATCACATGTGGTTACTGGCCAAAGTAACACAACATTAAATATTGGTGATGTTCCGAATCACGATGCGGATACAGGAATTTTTTTTTCTTTTAACCCTCTGAGGTCGAAAGCTGTGATGTATTTACAGGGCTTCTATAAAAAACAGTGAGAGCTTTCAGTGTTCCTTTGAACTGGATTGCACAGCATGGACTTCAAACTTTATAAAAGTAATGTTAAAACCAGATTTAATGATGAATAATTTTTGACATAATGTGCACATTTTTACGCATTTGGTGCGCATTTAGAGAATATTTTGTGACCAGGAAGTGCGACTGCACCATGAAACCTAATTTTCCCATTTCCTCAAACACTCCACATTGTCGGTAGGCTGGTAAACAGATCACTTCTGGCCTTTGGAAACGGGAGGAGACAGAATGGAATGATTTCGGCATTTTGGAAGCTAGTAGCGGTTTAGTTTTTAGACCAGACGTGTGTTAATGTGAGTGTGTGTGCAGTGTTTGTAGTATTGTTGTTACTCTGTGTCAAAACGAGTCGTCGTTTGACTGGAGGAAGCTTGCTCTGAGTCCTGAGATGAAGAGTGAGGAAGAGGAGTGATGCGCTCAAGTGCGGTGGACTTCACACTCGGAGTTTGTTCATTCATTCGTTCGTTTGTTCGTTCGTTCGGTCGTTCGTTTGTTAGTTTGGTCGGTCGTTCGTTCGGTCATTCGTTCGTTTGTTCGTTCGTTCGGTCGTTCGTTTGTTAGTTTGGTCGGTCGTTCGTTCGGTCATTCGTTCGTTTGTTCGTTCGTTCGTTCGGTCGTTTGTTAGTTTGGTCGGTCGTTCGTTCGGTCATTCGTTCGTTTGTTCGTTCGTTCGTTCGGTCGTTCGTTTGTTAGTTTGGTCGGTCGTTCGTTCGGTCATTCGTTCGTTTGTTCGTTCGTTCGTTCGGTCGTTCGTTTGTTAGTTTGGTCGGTCGTTCGTTCGGTCATTCGTTCGTTTGTTCGTTCGTTCGTTCGGTCGTTCGTTTGTTAGTTTGGTCGGTCGTTCGTTCGGTCATTCGTTCGTTTGTTCGTTCGTTCGTTCGGTCGTTCGTTTGTTAGTTTGGTCGGTCGTTCGTTCGGTCATTCGTTCGTTTGTTCGTTCGTTCGTTCGGTCGTTCGTTTGTTAGTTTGGTCGGTCGTTCGTTCGGTCAGTCGTTCGTTCGGTCGTTCGTTCGTTCGTTTGTTCGTTCGGTCGGTCGGTCGGTCGGTCGGTCGGTCATTCGTTCGGTCGTTCGTTCGGTCGTTCGTTCGTTCGTTTGTTCGTTCGGTC